ATTTCAAAATTGTTGAAGTGCAGAAAGATAGGAAAGGAGGACATCATTTCCTTCTCCCAATTTTTGTCTTCTCCTTCAACATTGAAGAAGATGGAGACCAGTTGAAGTCTTCTTCCATAAGGCCATGGAGAAATATTAAGAAGGTGAAGGAATGTCTGTGACAACAACCTGGGACTGTACAGCTCTGTTGCTGTTGCTGCTGCTTCTACCACAAGAACCTGTTCCGCTTGTTAAAGGTGTGGATAATTCTGCTTTTATTGACTGGCGGGTACTTCACTGTGACCGTCATGAGAGCTATTTTCAGTGGACCATAGATGGACACTGATCCCAATAAAGAATGGTCCCACCAAGTGACCTCTGACACTTGTCTAATCAACAGTGCGACTAGCTCTCATTCAATATATAAAAATCACCACAACTTTGATTAAATGGACCAACCGGTTAATATAAGAGGGGACCTTCCAGTAGATTTTACGCCAAGGTCCCATGGTAAGATTTTGAGTTCACTCCTGTATTGATTAGGTCCAATCAAATTTATGCTACAACCTGTGCACCATGCATGATCATTGGGTGGGAGTGTGATTCACTTCTGACAGACCTTCCCAAACTGTGATAAGATATTGGGGTCGGGACTGTGATGTAGGAATAGCTGCTATGGGGTTTGGGGTGAATGCTAAAAGCTGTGAGGCCCCTTTAAATGTTTCTATTTAAATCTGCGCTGGCATGATATAAAGGACATCTTCGAGACCTGGTTACTCCTGGGCATTTGGCTACACCCGTTAGTTTAATCAACTCAAACCACACAGACCTGCTCCATAGCACTCCCTCACTCACCCCACATACAGCCCTGGCCCCTACCCACCCAGAGGCTGAAACTACCCAGCCCCAGAGCCCCACAAAATCTGAGATATGAACATGGATTGGAACCGGGAAAGAATTGGGAAGTGCTAACCTGGGATTTATAGCAGTTACACTGTGACTGACCCTCCCGTCAGAAAATATAATTTATGGAATTCAAAGGAAAATCTAGGCCCTTCTGTAATTGGACATACATAAAGATCTTGTTGTTTAGTGAGCTCATTTTCATCATGTTTGAATCTGCCTCTGCCCTATTCAGAATGATTATGCTTTAAGATCATGTTAGTGAGTACAAAGCAAAAGCTGGCTGAAATCTGTGGGTGTATCTGTAATGTTGAAAGTGAAGCACGTGTTTTAATTTAAAGTCAATTTAATATTGTTCTGAACAGGTAATTATAAAAAAGATAGCTGGCTGGCATCGAAGTCAGACTTAGAGTGTCTTATCCATTGGATAAGTCTCTTCAGAATCAGAAAATATGTCTTGCACTGTGTCTTAAACTGATTCACATTTTTACATGACCTGTAGCGACATATCACCATAAGTAGAGACAACAAGGTGCAGGGCTGGATGAACACAGCAGGCCAAGCAGCATCATAGGAGCAGAGAGGCTGACGTTTCGGGCCTAGGCCCTTCATCAGAAAAGACCCTGTTGTCTCGGATTCTCCAGCATCTGCAGTTCCTACTATCTCTCTCATATCACCATAAGTAGTTTGTTTCTAACAAAATGAAACAAAGAACTTCAGGTGCCAAAGATCTGAAACAAAAACAGAAATTCCTGGAGAAACTCAGCAGATCTGGCAGCATTTGTGGAGAGAAAGCAGAGTTAACATTTCGAGGCCAGTGACCCTTCTTCAGACCTCTTTCGCAGAAAGGTCTTTGGACACAAAACGTTAACTCTGATATCTCTCCACAGATATTGTCAGACTTGCTGAATTTCTCCAGAAATTTCTGTTTTCATTTGTTTTCAGAGGGGTTCAGAGAAAATAAAACTGCCAGAAAATCATCTATAAAGGTAATGCATTATCTTGCAATAATTAAGCAATTATGTCAACAGACTTTTGCTTGCTGCTGTGTGTTTTGTTGTCCTTCTATGATTCTGATAGCCATCTGTTCATAAGCAGTAGTGCTGCATTTCATTTACTGGTGTGATTTGCTGTTTTTCATTTCAAATGGAAATAACAGTAATGCAATAAATGATGGTAAAAATTTTATAGAATGGACCACGATTACAACTGATGATAGTGGGAAATGACATGGCCTTGCAAGTAGATGACAGAATACATAGGCAGAGTCTTACAGGACCAAAATTTCATTTCATACATCAGCATATGACAACAAGAAATAGGAACAGGAGTAGGCCTCAAGCCTGCTCCACCATTCATGGCTGATCCAACACTCCTCATATCCACTTTTCTGTCTTTACTCTTAACCTTTGATTTCCCAATTCTTCATGAATCTCTCTATCTCAGACTTAAATGTACACAAGGACTGCAGCATGGTGGTTCATTGGTTAGCGCTGCTGCCTCACAGCACCAGGGATCCGGGTTCGATTCTACCCTTGGGCGACTGTCTGTGTGGAGTTTGCATGTTCTTGCATGGAGGCTGCAGAGGATTTGCAAGTGGGGATGGTTTTGAACTTGTCATGTTAGAAGTCAGTAGGTGTTGAGTGAAGAGGATTTGGTGTGGAACATGGTGGGCACATTTGTTTTGGAGAAGTAATTTGTCTGCGAGCCTGTGATTATGGTTCAATACATCTATTGGGTCCTGTGGGTAACCATATAACAAAGTGTTTATCCTACTGGTTTCTGCAGTTGACGAAAATCATGTAGAATTACAGAATCCCTGCAGTGTGGAAGCCAGCCATTCAGCCCATTGAGTCCACGGCGACCCTCCGAAGCACGTTCCACCCAGACTCACACCCCTACCTTGTCTTTGTAACCCTGCATTTCCTATAGCTAATCCATGTAGCTTGCACATCTCTGGACACTATGGGGATTTAGCACGGTCAATCCACCTAACCTGCACATCTTTGGACTGTGGGAGGAAACTGGAGCACCCGGCAGAAACCCACGCAGACACGGGGAGAATGTACAAATTCAAACAGTCAACCAAAGGTGGAATCTACCCAGGGTCCCAGCCGCTGTGAGGCAGCGGTGTTAACCACTGAGCCACCATCCCACCTGGAAGTTTACAAAAATGCATATGATGACTAATGAGTGGAAGTGGGATTTTCTGTTCAATTGTAGATGTCTACAACCGTTCAAGATGATGGGCAAGGGAAAGCCTCTCTGCCACGGGGAGTCAGAGCTCACCTATGGGAAGCACTCGCCTGTGAGCTACTATTGAAATTTATTAGACCCAAGAATACAGAAGTGTGAGCAGGAAGAAAATCAAGATGAAGTGTCAACTTCTGGTGCAAGTTCATCGAGCTAAAAAGTTCGCAGTGTTTTTCTCTCTCAGCAGTTGCTGTCTGACCTGAGTGTTTCTCGAGCGTTTTCTGTTTCTGTTTCAGATTTCCAACATCCACAGTGTTTTATTTCCGTGCTTGACGTTGGATGTTATTCCCAGACCAGGAAGATCTTTGGACATTTTACACTCAAGCTATTGAATATAAGCAGCAAAAATTTTAATGTTTTGTGGAGCTCAGTACAATGCAGATGCAGAGCTAAAATGAGCTTGGGGAACAGCAAAGGAACCTGTACACTATCTAGAATTACTGGGGAGGGGAGGTTGCTGTGTTGCAGCAAGCTGTACATTTATTCACGAAACCAAGCCTGAGGAGAATGAATCAGTGCAGATTCCAGATGGAGCTTTAGAGATAATGACAACACAAAGAAGCTCTATGAATGCACAAAGGAAGAACAATGTGATGTTAAACTTGTGACGAAAGGCATATCAATAACGATGTGTCTGCTATATGAAGCACAGATGAGTCAGCAGTGGATTGAAATACAGACTAGAGATTCACTCGTGGTCGAAGAAAAAAAGAGATTCTCCAAGATGTTGCCTGAGATGTAGCCATTTAGCCGTGAAGAGAGGCTGGATAAGCTTGGGTTCATTTGTTTAGAGCTGAGAAGGTTGAAAGTGGATCTGATTGATTTTGAGGGACATGGGCAGGGTGGATAGGGAAATAGCTGTTCCCCTGAGTTGAAGGGTGGATAAAGAGGGAGCATAATTTAAGGGCAAAGGGCAGGTTATTGAGATGGGACTTGAGGGAAAATGTTTTCACCCGGGGGAGGTGGAGGTCTGGAATGTACTTTCTGGCGAGGGTATTTGAAATGGGTAACATCACAACCTTTAAAAAGCACTTGGATGAGCACTTGAAATGTCAAAATATTCAAGGCTATGAGCCAAGTGCTGGAAAGGGGGATATGCATAGATTTAGCACATTTTTGGTGGTGCAGACTTGATGGGCCGATCTCTGTTGTCCTGTATGATGTCAGAAGTCACACGACACCAGGTTATAGTCTAATAGATTTATTTGAAATCACAAGCTTTCAAAGTGCTACTCCTTTGTCAGGTCATGACGGGGCAGCGCTCCGAAAGCTTGTGATTTCAAATAAACCTGTTGGACTATAACCTGATGTCGTGCGACTTCTGACCTTGTCCACTCCAGTCCAACACTGCCACCTCGACATTGTACTGTATGATTTTATGATTGTAGGTGATCTGTATAAACACAAGTTGTGGCCTTTTTGAAAAGTGGACCATAATTGCATCCGTGGACGCAATTACTGTCAACAGCTTCCAAAAGCAAGTCCGGCATTTTGGAATTTTTGCCTTTAGGCAGGAATAACCAATTCATCAGAGATGTCTAATTGGCCGGGGTAGCGAGTTATGGTCAGACAATCCCTGAGGAATGGGTCACCTCCACCATCCCTGTTTAAGTACTTATTTCACTCATAGTCATTTCCAGAAGGTAACTGCTTTCAATGTCAGACTGGAAAATAATTCTTTGCTTAGTTTTTTGTAAAAGTATATTGAATGGGAACAAAACAAAAATGATGCAGAGTGTGTTAGTGTATTAAAATCCACCTTTTTCAGAGGAAAGGTTAGATTTTTGTTTAAATGCACATTGTTATCTTGCCTGTCAGTAATTATATCTATGTGCACAGAGTAATGTTTTTTCTGTTTGCTCTAGGTGATGTCTTACAAGGAAAGATTTCCTGTTGCAAGAACAGAAAAGATCCTCGGTCGCTGATTGTAACAATATCAATTAACAGCATGAAACAAACGTACAGTGTGCAGTGAGAGCTCCCTCCTTCAATACCACAGGGTCTGCATCCACGTATTTGTTGTGTCAACAAAACAGATCACTGCGGATGCTGGAGATCTAAAACAAACCAAACCAGAAATTTCTGGCGAAACTCGGCAGCTCAGGCAGTATTTGTGGAGAGACAGTCAGAGTTAACTCTTGGAGCCCAGTGACCCATGTTCAGAACATTTCTGAAGAAGAGTCACGGGGTGTGAAATATTAACTCTGTTTCTCTCACCACAGATGTTGCCAGACCTGCTGAGTTTCTCTAGAATTCTCTGTGTCTATATTTGTCATGTTAAAATTGAGAAGTTTTGTTTCCCGATAACTGTGATAGTTGAATATCCCAATTGCCATTGAAGTTTATCTAAATTAAATATAATTAATAAGTCCTATCATCAATAATATTTTTCATGAATAAAGTAACTGAGTGCATTTGAATCCACTGGGCCTCTTGAATATCTAGAGGAGTAATTTAATTATGTCATAAATAATACACAAGTCTCAATGTCGTTTTGGGACATTTTCTTCTGAATTAACTCTAAAGATTCTTCACATTTAGATTGAACCTCCTGGCTCCCCCTACACCTGATTGACCAGTGTCTAAAAAGTTTCCAAACAGGAATAAAGTGTGAATTTTGATCTTTTCTGTAAGTTACATCACAGAAACACTGTGACTTAGGGATAGAAAGCAGATTTTGTTTTAGTTCACGGGTTTTGAGCTGTATTCCAAGAAAGGAACAATAATGCAACCATGAACTACAAATTTAGCAATGATATTGCCTGTGTAATTTGTCTTTAGAGCAAGAGATTATAGAAGCATCTAAAGTTACAGCACAGAAAGACGCCATTCAGCCTGTTGTGAATAAACTAGCCAAGCATTCAGTTATATAATGATGTTACAAGTTATGTTTTTTCACATCTTCATACCCGAGGCATACTTACAGTCAAAGAGATGTAAAGTACAGAAAAGGCCCTTCAGGCCAGTGCGTCTGTGCCTGTTTAAAACAACCATAAACCCATTTTGCAGCACTTGGCCCAAAGCTTATATTCCTTGGCATCATAAGTGCACATCTAAAAACCTCTTAGATATTATGAGGGGTTCTCCCTCTACCACCCTGACAGGCAGTGAGTTCCAGACTCTCACCTCCCCCTGACTGAAAAAGCTTTTCCTCACATCTCCTGTAAATCTTCTGCCTCTGACCTTAAATCTATACCCTCGGTCATTGATCCCTCCATTCAGAGGAATCGTTTTATCCTATCTACCATGGCTATGCCCCTCATAATTTTATATGTCTCAGTCATGTGTCCTCTCAATCTCCTCTGCTCTCAGGAAAACAATCCCAGTCTGTTCAATCTCCATAACTGAAATTTTCCAACCCAGGCATCAAACAGGTAAATATCCCCTGTACCCTCTCCAATGCTCATACATTCCTCCTATAAGGTGAATTCCAAAATTACACACAATGCTCTAGCTGTGGTCTAACCAACTTTTTATACAGATCCCCCAGCATAAGCTACCTGCTCTTAAACCCTGTGCCTCAATTAATTTAGGGACCAGTATACATGCACACCAAGGTCCCTCTGACCTTCAGTGATTCCCAGGGCCCTACCATTCATTGTGTATTCCATTGCCATGTTTGTCTTGCCCATGTACATCACCTCAGATTTCTCTTCACATTTAACAGTAGTGAAAACAGATGTTTTCAAAACTAATTGAGCGTACTTCTTTGAGGAATTAACGAGCAGGGTAGATCAAGGAGAGCCAATGGATGTTATCGATCTGGACTTCAAGAAGGCCTTTGATAAGGTGCCACACAGGAGGCTGCTGAGTAAGATAAGGGCCCATGGTGTGAGAGGCAAGGTGCTAGCATGGATAGAAGATTGGCTGTCTGGCAGAAAGCAGAGAGTGGAGATAAATGGGTCTTTCTCAGGATGGCAGCCGGTGATAAGTGGTGTTCCACAAGGGTCAGTGCTGGGACCACAACTTTTCACTTTGTACATTAATGATCTCGATAAAGGAACTGTGGGCATTCTGGCTAAGTTTGCAGACGATACAAAGATAGGTGGAGGGACAGATAGTATTGAGGAGGTGGCGATGCTGCAGAAGGATTTGGACAGGTTAGGAGAGTGGACAAAGAAGTGGCAGATGGAATACAATGGGGGAAAGTGTGAGGTCATGCACTTTGGTAAGAAGAATAAAAGCATGAACTATTTTCTAAATGGGGAGAAAATTCAGAAGTCTGAAGTGCAAAGAGACTTGGGAGTTCTAGTTCAGGATTCTCTCAAGGTAAACTTGCAGGTTGAGTCAGTAGTCAGGAAGGCAAATGCAATGTTGGTATTTATTTTGAGAGGACTTGAATATAAAAGCAGGGATGTACTATTGAGATTTTATAAGGGTCTGGTCAGGTCACATTTGGACTATTGTGTGCAGTTTTGGGCTCCATATCTCAGGAAGGATGTACTGGCCCTGGAGCGGGTTCAGAGGAGGTTCACGAGAGTGGTCCCAGGAATGGAAAGCTTAACATACGAGGAACATTTGAGGACTCTGGGACTATACTCATTGGAGTTTAGAAGGATGAGGGGGATCTAATTGAAAGTTTCAGAATACTGAATGGCCTGGACAGAGTGGATGTTGGGAAGATGTTTCCATTGGTAGGAGAGACTAGGACACGAGGGCACAGCCTAAGAGTAAAGGGAAAACCTTTTAGAACGGAGATAAGGAGAAACTTCTTCAGCCAGAGAGCGGTGAATCTATGGAATTCACTGCCACAGAAGGCTGTGGAGGCCAGGTCATTGAGTACATTTAAGGCTGAGATGGATAGGTCCTTGATTATCAAGGGGATCAAGGGTTATGGGGAGAAAGCGGGAGAATGGGGTTGAGGAACTTATCAGCCATGATTGAATGGCGGAGCAGACTTGATGGGCCGAATGGCCTTATTTCTGTTCCTATTCTCATGGTCTTATCTGATAGCTTTGGGGTATAACCCTGGCCCTTCTCTGTGGATTGCCATTTTGACTGGCGCAGAGGCTTGAGCATCATAATTGAACATGGAGCAGTTCAATGTTCCATTGAGCAAGGTTGAATGGGGCTCATGGTAGGACCATTCACAGCAGACAGGTCAGGGCGGATACATGACTGTCAATGTGCTATTCACAAACAACTCAATGGCGAAAGATGAAGGAAGACTGTGCAATTCACCATTTGTGAACACAGACATCTATGGTAATAGGGTAGTCCTTGTCTTTGTGGTCATCTGAGCACCAGCCTCTCAGTATCCTGGTTGAGAACTACAGCATCTCAAGGTCCCCACTGTTAAACAATATCATGGGCAGACTTCTACCATGGACCATTGGCCAAGTCCAATGGTAATAGAGAATTGGCGACAGGGACAAGGCTGTGAACCTGGGAGTCCCTCGTGAAGAATCTGAACGTGGGATTAGGGGGCAGATGAACAGAGGTCTTCTGGACTTCATATTGAGTTCAACACCCTCAAATTGTCCACCATTTCTTCCCTTTCTTTAATTTTGTTACATTCTGTTATCATGTCCTCTCTCCCCTCCCCCCACCCCAGTGGGACTGTCAAGTCTGGCAGGAGACACACCATTGTTCTGCTATTCTCACATTCCAATCACTTCATCTGAACTATCAACATCTTTTCTCCCCCAGCAGTCTGCACCCACTACCCCCACACACCCTCCCACCCTAAATTATAGCATAAATGGTGCCCCATCCGCACTTCACTTCAGCTCTGATGAAGAGTCATCTGGACTTGAAACATTAGCTTGCTCTCCCTCCGTGGATGCTGTCGGACCTGCTGCGATCTCCAACAGTGATTGTCCTCGGTGAAGGTCATTGGACTCCTGTATCGAGGCAGAGGTGTGTTTCGGCACAGCATCTGAGCAATCCTCTTGAGGATATCCTCAGCTTACCTGAAATGAGAAAAGGGCTAGAAATAAGTTGTCCCACCTCTGGCTGAAGTATTACTACTTTCACAATAAAAGAAAGAAAATATTAAAGAGCCGTTTGGTGATAAAAAACTTTGATATTACTGGCAAAAAGGGACATGCTATCAAAGCCTTTTGTCTTGCACTCATCAGGACAGAATCACGAGAATGCAAAGTCTCAAAGGGTTAAGGTTAGGTAAACTCTTCTTGAAGCACAGCACATAGATGTCAATGACTCGGAGGAGCTTTGTACCATTTGTTCAATATGGTGACAACTTCTGTAATATGGTTTTAGTCCCAGTGATGGGTCAATGATGAGGCAGGGTGGCAGCAGAGGTAACAAGGATAGGAATCCAATAGTGCAATCCACATTGCTCCAGCTTGTGGGACACCCTGCCCATGTGTCCAAAGACCTGGGTGTCGACAATTGGCCTGATCAGTCACATGAAGACCATGGCAAAAAAACCTGTGACACTAAGAAGGCACCTTTTTTTAATTCACTCATGGAATGTGGGTATTGCTGGCTAGGCCAGCATTTATTGCCCATCCCTACTTGCCCTTGCGAAGGTGGTGGCGAGCTATCTTCTTGAACTACATCAGGCCATGTGTCATCAGTTGACTTACAATGTCATTAGGGAGGGAATTCCAGGATCTGACCCAGCCACAGTGAAGGAATGGCGATATATTTCCAAGTCAGCATGGTGAGGGGCTTGGAGGGAAATTGCAGGTGGTGGTATTCCCACATATCTGCTCCCTTTGTCTTTCTAGATGGCAGTGGTTGTGGGTTTGGAAGGATCGTTAGTGAATTTCTGCAGTGCATCTTGTAGATAGGACATACTTACTGCTGCTACTGAGCATCAGAGTTCGAGGGAGCGGCTGTTTGTAGATGCAGTGGCAATCGAGCAAGTTGCTCTGCCCCTGGATTGTGTCAAGTTTCTTGAGTGTTGTTGGAGCTGCACCCATCCAGGCAAGTGCGGAGTAGTCCATCACACTCCTGACTTGTGCCTTGTAGATGATGGATAGGCTTTGGGGAAACAGGAGTTCTGTTATTGGCTGCAGTATTCCTAGCCTCTGACCAGCTCTTGTAGCTTCTGTGTTATGTAGCAAGTCTGTTTGAGTTTCTGGTCAATGATAATCCCCAGGATGTTGATAGTGGGGAATTCAGTGATGGTTTCACCATTGGCTGTCAAAGGTGGTGGTTAGATTGCCTCTTATTGGTGATGGTCATAGCCTGGCATTTGTGTGGTGTGAATGTTACTTGCCACTTGTCAGCCAAAACCTGGATATTGTCCAGATCTTGTATTTGAACATGGACTGCTTCAGTATCTGAGAAGTCACAAATGGTTCTGAACAATTTTCAGCAAACATCCCCCTTTCTAACCTTATGATGGAATGAAGATCATTGATGAAGCAGCTGAAGATAGTTGGACCTAGGACACTACCCTGGGGAACTCATGTAGAGATGTCATGGAGCTGAAATGTTGACTTCCAACAACCACAATCATTTTCCGATGTGTCAATATGACTCCAATCAGAGGAAATTTTGTCCCCTGATTCCCATTGATTCCAGTTTTGCCAGGGCTCCCTGATACCACACTCGGTCAAATGTAGTCTTGATGTCACTCACCTCATCTCTGGAATTTTGCTCTTTTGTCCATGTTTGAACCAAGGCTGTAATGAGGTCAGGAGCTGAGTGGACTTGATGGAACCTAAACAAGGCATCACTGAGCAGGTTATTGCTGAGCAGGTGCTGTTTGATAGCACTGTTAATGACACCTTCCATTAATTCGCTGATGATCGAGAGTAGACTGTTGGGCAGCATTGACCGAGTTGGATTTGTCCCGCTTTTTCTGCATACGACATAGCTGGGCAATTTTCCACATTGTCAGGTACATTCCAGTGCTGCAACTGGACTGGAAGAGCTTGGCTCAAGAAGCAGCAACTTGTAGAGCACAAATCTTCAGTACTACTGCAGGAATGTTGTCAGGGCCCATAGTCTTTACACTATCCAGCGCCTCCAACCATTTCTTGATATCAAGTTCAGTGAATTGAAATGGTTGAAGATTGGTATCTATGATACGGGGGAACCATGGGTGGATGTGTTGGGCTCTTCCATCATTGAGGATGGTGATATTTGCAGAGCCTCCTCTTCCAGTGAGTTGTTTAACTGTCAACCACCATTCATGCTTGGATGTGGCAGGGTTGCAGAGCTTAGATCTAATTTTTTTGTTGTGGGATCGCTTAGCTCTATCTGTCACTCACTGTTTGGCATGCAAGTAGTCCTGTTTGGTAGCTTCAACAGGTTGTCTCCTCTTTTCTAAGGTATACCTGGGTGCTGCTTTTGGCATACCCTCCTGCATTCAAGGGGCAGTTGATGAGGAATCTCAGCCCAATTTGCACATCAACACATTTTATTTCTTAGGACAGAAATTATGGTGAAGGATTAGGTGCGACCAACCCTGGAAGCTGGTGGATCTGGGTTTGTCACCTCTTGTTGCACGGGGTGTAAACTGGGTTTTAATTGGCGTGCTAGAATTCATGATCACTTCTAAAAGACTTATGTGGCACTAGAAACTAACATAAAGAAATAGATTGTCATTATTCTCCTTTATAAGAAATTAATTTCACATTATTTAAATTTTTTGATAAATTGATACTTTGATTGCTCCTTTAATCCCTTGTGTATGCCTCAATCCTTTAAGTCATCATCAATAAAATGTATTCAAAAGTGAAGAATAGTCAGTGCATTTTTCTTGTTGGCTTGCTATCTGTGAGAATACCTCAGTGTGATTGGCTGCTTACTCTGCTTGATGACCCCTCACTGTTACTTGGATGCCCCGCCCTCCCCCAACCTGGTGCCAGATTCAAAAGAATGCTGAGAGAAAGGAAATCCATGCTACAGAAACCTTTAGATCTTCGAGATCACTGAAGGATACAACCTCTTCACTGCTGACCATGAAATCTAGGCCTGTCCATCTTATTGAAAGTTGCTGTTTTGGCTAAACTCCATATAGTGAAAGTAAATGATGTATTAATTGAAAAGTTGAACCAAACCTCAGGATAAAACATTAGATCAAGCTTGCAGTTACAGTTTTGTGTTTGGATATGTCACACCAGTTGGGTGTTAATATTTCTAGAGTGTAAGCTCAGTGAAGAGATCATGACTCAATTAATATTCATGCATATAAAAAATGCACAGTTGGATCTTTTTGTAATGGTTATTGCTTTGAATGCCATTGCAATGTCATTAAACTGGAGATTTATTTGCAGTGATAACTGAATGTTACAAAGTTCTCTTACAAAAGATATTCCATTTTAATAACATTCCATTGCAGTGGTACAGCCTCATGGGGAGTCCCTGCAGTGACCTTAGTGGATCTGGAGGGAAGCCATGTAGAAATGTATAATAGTGTGCCAAGATACCCAGCCTGAGCCTGTGTTGTGGATCAACATGAAATTAATGTAAGGAATTGCGAAAAGACAGGAGATCTCACATTCAG